GCTGGTGCTGGTGGTGGTGCTGCTGCTGCTGGTGCTGGTGGTGGTGGTGGTGGTGGTGCTGGTGGTGGTGGTGGTGGTGGTGCTGGTGGTGGTGGTGCTGGTGGTGGTGGTGGTGGTGGTGGTACTTACCGGCACTAGCACTAGCACTTGCAGCAGCAGTAGAAGTAGAGGTGGTAGTAGGAGTCGTCGTGGTGGTAGTGGCGTAATGGTACTTGTAGTAGTGGTAGTCTATGGTAGTGGTAGTGGCACTGGTAGTGGAGGTGGTGGCGCTGGTGGCAGTGGCAGTGGCAGTCATGCAGGGCGGCTCTAGCAAAGCACAACGATGTCCAGCAAAGGCTCTACAACACTAGTGACTCATGACAGCCATCGTGACCATCACGATAATACGAATCGCAAAATCACCCATGAAGATGGCAGCGCTAATCATCCAGTCCGACTATGCTGCTGTATGGCTTTCGATGATACCAGTACGCTACAAGACAAACAAGACAAGACAGGCCAGGACAGGACAAGACACCACGATACATACAATACCACACAATGCAACACAGCACAACGCAATACTACATGGAAGAATATGCAAAAATGTGTCCATAGCCATAGTTGCACATTGAGGCGTCGGTTAGGCGCCTCCTTTCGCAAGCTCTGGCGGCACTGAGCAGTGGAAAGATGTCGCAGGCTTGAAACCCGGAACCTCGGAGAGGAAACTTTGTCGCTGTCACATGGACCATACCTGTGAAAGCAGGATTTACTCTGAAACTGCATACGTTACAAGCAGCCTCTGCAGAACCGCAATCGATGAAAGCCTGAGCCTTTCGGATCCTTCCTGAGCTCTAGAGTGACCCTAGCGAAGCTTCCCCTCCAAAACATCCGAGCAACAACGGAGTTGAAGAACTCAAGCTGCTGAATCATCGCCTTGCCTGAAAGAAGGCTTGAGAAGCGCCATCCGGTGACACGCTCTGACCAGACCATGAAAGCAAACTCACCGAGCTGCGGAAAGTCTGCAGCGACTGTGCTCTGTCTCGCTGCAACGCCTCCTGAAGCCTGGCAGGAGAAGGGAACAGAAAGGCTTTCAGATGGCTTTCGAAGTCTACCAAGCTCTTTCCTGAAAGCAGGAGCAACCGTCATGTAAAAAGGTGTTGAGCACGTCTTGAAAATGCAGACTCTGCGCTGCCACCGCCAAGCTGCTTGATGCTACGTGTCATGATGGTCTCAGGGGGCAATTTTGCACCGAGCAGCAGAGGATCCCAGGCATTGAAATCCGCCTGTTTCTTCGTGGCAGGAAGGGCCTTTATCCAGTCGGTGTAGGCATTACCTGAAGAAGCATGCTTGAGAGGCTTGGTTACAGGGAACTGCCTGTTGAGAGGCCCCGCTGTATCTCTGGACTTATATTGACATGCAGAGTAGCAGGGTAGTGAAAATTGCGCATGCTCAACCTTGTCGCTGTTGCAATCGCATGACGGACTTTGCAACCCTCACCCGCTGCACAGTACCTAGTACTCCGCCGAAGAAAATAATACTCGTGCTAGGCTAGACAGTTCAAAGTGGCCGCCCTGACCAAGAGATTTGCTTGAAAACCAGTGTTTGGATGACTACATGACCGGTGTAGAACCTGCATTCCACACCCGCCGTCCCTGCCAGTGTGCCGACTTTGACCAAGCCAAGCTGCCCAGAACTGCGCATCGCCTCATCCTCACGGCTAGCCAGTCCCAAAGCACGCTGCAGGGTGCGAAGGCGATCACCTGATCTTGCTTCATGATTACCGGGCTCTCTGCAGAATTCTTGTGCCTTACCTGCAGCTTCACGTCCCATAATTACAATACTCAATCTGTTTTGAGCTGTATGAGATAATCATACAATATACATGACATTCAGCATCAATCCTGCGGCCCATGCTCGGCCCAAGAGCTCTGATCTGAAAGACCCCAGTACCGTAGTCTGCACCCGTCGATGTGACATCGTGATGACTCTGAGACTCTTCAGTTTTGAAGAGGAAGAAGAAAGGCAACAAGTATCTTTACCTGGTTTTTAGCGCTGTATGCCCCGAGGTCGTCTCCAAGAGCATGCTTTCTGAATTGCACCCAGGGCACTGCCTGTGCCAAGGATTCCGACTCCGCCGTCTGCCGGAGGAACTCCTCGAGCTTTGATGGCATCGTCTTCCGGGCTTAGGGAGTTTTGGATGTCCAGACGCAGCAAAGAGGGGGTGGCAGCTAGCTGCAACTCAGTCGCGACATAGGCCGTGCATGCTTTGCTGGGACCCACCTCCACGTCAGGACGCAACCCTGGCGACAAGCATGCTCCCAAGCCCCAATAGCCCAATCACGAACCCTCACTGGCCTTCTCCAGATTCCAGCCTTCGGCTTCGGCTTCTCCATAGACCCGGTAGTTCTCGTGGGTCTCCCATGGGCTCGCACAAAGCCAAGCAGTGAAGAGGCCAGGGGTCGGCAACTACGGAGTATGGGGTCCAGGTCCGGGTCGTCCCCCAGTATCGCACGGAATCAACGCAGAATGCAAGGTGCAAAAGCCCCCGAACCGAAGATGGAGCCTCCTTGAAGAACATGGTCCAGTTGCTCCGGGGACCGTGCTCTTTGAGGGAACGCTGGTAGAGCGACAGAAGCACTTCTGTAGCACCAGGCATGTAGCAGGACATGTCCTGCATCAGGTGCCAGAACTCTGGATGAGCCGAGATCAGCACTGAGCACGAGCTTTTGCGATATCTGACATGAGTTCGTGTCCTGTATCATGTACTGCGCGAAGTGTCTAGCATCAAGCGTCCCATCACACATCGAGCGGATGAACGGGGATGCCAGCACACAGGTGGCAATGTCGGTGGCTCCACCCCAAAGCACTGCGTCGCTCGACGATGCCGAACATACTGACAGCAGGGACGCCAGGCCAGCGGCGCGCAGCATTGCGTGTGCAAAGCCACCCATCGGCCTAGAAGCTTCTGCAACTTTGCGCCGCAAGCTGCCCGCATTGACCGCCCGAGCCGAAATCCAAGGAGCTCCCGTCTTGCTCGCTGCTCCGAGACGCAGACAGAACCGAAAAGAGCAAAGAAGCCACTGACACCGCGAGGCCTGCTCGAGGAGCTCCTTCTCTGCTTTGGCGAGGGCAGCCCCTGGTCAGAATGCAGAGCCTATCCCAATGAACGGGCGGACCACTGAAAGCCCACAGCAAGACAAAAAGTCCTTTCATACTCTACAATAGAGCAATTGAAACTCGTATAACGCGGGATTCTCAAAGAAAACCCAGCCGAAGGCTTCTCAGGCTTCCGCCGCGCCCGTGGGAGGCGCTGCGGCGCTCGACCTCCGAGCGCTTCAGCGCGGCGTTCTCGCAGCGCAGCCTCCGCGGGCAGAAGGGAGGCCAGCAAGGGGGGGGGGGGGGGGGGGGGG